GAGACCTGCTCCTTAGCCCCACCCCCCATGGGTGCCCCGCCCCGCCCCCCCCCCAACTGCCAGCCCCCGGGGAGGCGGCTGGGGGAAGAGGAGGCTGAGCCGAGGGCGTTGCTCCTTTGTTCCTGCATCCGTGCCTCCCTGGCAGGGCCCAGCTGCAGGGGCTGGAGGCTGCTGCCTGAATCAGTGAGCCGCAGACACCCAGAGCAGCTCCGTTAACATCTTCTGGGCCATTAAGAGGCCAGATCGTGGCCCTCCCACGGGCCAGCCCAGGGTCACTCCTGAGCTTGGTTTTAGCAGAGCAGAGCAGGCAAATGGCCGAGGGGAGAAGCGGGCTCCGGGAGCTGGTGTCTAACCCTGACAGGGCAGCCCCGTGAGGGGACCGCGTCCCGGGCCAGCTGTGGGTCCCGTGCAGAAGGCCACGCTGGGTGTGCACTCGGCTCCTGCCCCAGGGCCCTGCCTTCCGTGCGTCGCTGTGACCCTGGGGTGCAGACTGCCTCACGTGCCCCTCCCACCCCCGAGCCCCGGGGACCTCCCCTGAAACGAAGGCCCGGAAGGGATGCACTTGCAGCGCCCCTTGGACAGCGCCTTGGGGTTAAGGCGCTCTGGTTCTCTCAGCTCCTCCCTTCCTGCCATCCTGACCCCGGACACAGCGCCCCGTCCCTCCCGCGGGTGGAGGGAGCCGCCCAGGGCCACTGCCGCCTTCTTTCCGCGGAGCTCGCCGGCTCACGCGCAGAAACAAAGGACACATCGTAAAGTCACGGGCCGATCGGTGTCTCCTTGGTCACGGGCTGGGACACCTCAGGAGGGTCTCCTGTTCCACTGGTGGGTTCGTATGTGCATTTTTAAGGCACATTAATAGAAGATTATGGGATAAGAACACCCTTCTTTGTCTACTGCTGGAGTGATGATACCACCAGGCGCCAGACTAAGTCTTGTACCTACGTTGTCGGGACTCAGTACAGAACAGATCACTGTGCTTCAAAAATACTTTTACCACAAGTGCAGTTTAATTTGAGATTTTAGATTATGCTTTCATTTCCACGAGTTAAAAAAAGGAATGAAAAATTTTGCGGCTGAGGCGCCAGCACGCGTGCGCATCCTGTCGCCACCTAGTGAGCGAGCCCGGAATTACAGCAGCGTCGGCCTCACCGGCGCGTCCCGTCCCTTCCGTTCGCGTATGGGCGACGCTGGGTTACTTCAGCAGCCGCTTCTTAGTCTGAGTAACGTTTCTGCTACGGCGACGTGAACGCTGATTCACCTTTTTAACGATGAGCAGTCTGTCCACACGCTTCAGCCCGAACGTGTGCCTGAAACACTGTCGCAGCCTGGGCACCCCAGCCCATCTGGGAGACTCAGGGCGCCGCGCCGCCCGCCTCCGTGCCCCGCCAGACGGTGCAGCTGCTGAAAGAGGGGGAAGGCGGAGCTAGAGCAGTCGGTCCCTGCGAGCGGGCCTGACCGCGGCCTGGACGGCGCTCGCCCTCAAGAGCGCCCTTCAGCCGGGGCCGCGTTTCCTCGTTTCCTCCGGTAAATGATTTCGTTAAATGGTCGTCCGCTGACAAGCTCTGGGCCGCGCTCCGCTCTGGTGTACTGGAGGCCGGGCTCCTTGGAACCGCCAGGGCCCGGGCCCGAGGCTGCAGCCGCACGGGGTCCCCACGGCCGTGTCCGCCCAGCCATGCTCTCCCAGGAGCGCCGCTCCCGCGGGACAGCGGCCGCATACCTCTCCGTAGCAGGCGGGAGCGCCGAGACGTGGAGGTGTCAGGCGGCGACGCCGGCCACAGAGCCACCCGGAGACGCGGGCCGGGATCGGGGCGTGTGCACTGGCCTGAGCCGGTGACACCTGGGCGCCGGCGGACACAAACGGCGAGGTGGCCTTTCGTTCGCCCAAAACCTGAAGTGAGGCGTAGGCGTTCAGCACCGCGGGTGATTCTCATGCTCCGAGGTGCCCGCGTCGCCCCGCAGAAGGCCGGGCCTCAGCGTCCCTCGGGGCCCAGGCACCGGGGCTCACTGCCGCCCCGAGAGCGGGCTCTCGGCACACCCTCACCCGCGCGCTCCCGCTGGGCAGGGCGCGGGCAGCGGTGCCAGGAGCCGAGGGGGACAGGCAGGTGCTGCCGGCTCGCCGCCTGCACCAGCGAGTCCCGTTCGTTGTGAAGAGCTGCTCTTGAAGCTGCCAGGCTTTCCTTTTTTTTTCCCTGCTAAACTGGAATGTTTCTTGTCGTCTGTCTTCGTAACATCCCAGTTAGCGAACTAGTAACGCCTGTCCCAGTTTTCATGAGATTGAAAACGTAGACGACTAAAGAAAGAAAAGTACCTTGTGGGGTTTTACGAAGACTCCGTGAGGAGAACACTGCCGCGCGGCCTGCTGTTTGCTGACCCGGGAGACGCGGGGAGCTGTTTACACCAGCCCGGGACAGTGCCCACCAGCAGGCGGGACGGTGACCCTGCCGTCTGAGCTCGGGGCTGTTGGGGATTTGTCCTTGTGACCCTGGCAAGACAGCCAGGTGCCCTGGATGGCCTCCTCCCACCAGAGACAGCGAGCTCTCCCGGCCCAGCTGTTTTACGCAGCTTATGTTTGTCTACATTTGAGAACTTTACCTCGAGTTTTAGTAAAGAAAATGTTTAAGAGACGCTATTAATAAATTCGGTTTCTGTGTCTGGCAGATGGAGGCAAGACAAAATTCACCAATTAAGGATTTTGTCAGAAAAGAAAGAGTGAGTCCAGGTGAAATACTAGCTGCTACTCAGAAGCTGGAAGAAGAAAGCCTCTCTGCCCTAAGTGCACAACCAGAGCCCCTCGGGGAGAGGAGGGCTCTCAGGACCGTAGTTACACACAGAACTCAGAGCCTGGTTTGCTGGGCCGTCTGCCGCCCTCACGGCGGTGCCACGTCCCACCTGCCCACGCATTCGTGTTCCCACTTCACGTGCGAGTCTGCAGGTACCTGAGCTCCTGTGACGTGTAAAACGGAGCGTGATCCTCCTAACTCTAGGATGCTCTCTGGGTCCCCCACAGGATTACGTGCTGGCCGTGGACACATACCGCTCGGTCATCCAGTACTACCCACACCAGGAGCCCCAGCTGCTGAGCTGCATCGGCCGGATCTTCCTCCAGGTGTGAGCCGCGGGTTGGCAGGGTGGGCCGGGGGTTGCCTTAGTGTGGGTGCTGGAGATTGCAGAAAGAGCACAGGAAATACATCCAGTCAGACTTCTGTGACTGTAGGAGGGGTAGTTTTCTTGGTCCTGGCTTGACTGTGCTCTGGGCTTTGACGTGATTAGGAAGCCAAGTGCTAAGACGTGCATTTTCGTAGATTTTCATCTGGGAAGCGCTGAGATGGATTCCTTGAGAAATCGCCCTGTTGCAGGTAGAAGTGTGTTGACAAAACCGTCAGTAATCTGACGCCAATTAAGGCTGATAACGTAGCCAGTTGCTGATATTTTACTGGAAAGCGCGCTTGAATCCACATGCGTGGACAAAGGAGGTCCCGCTTGGAGCCATGGTCCCGACAGTGCAGGAAGCCGGGACGTACTGCTTTGCCAGGGATGGCGCTGAAGCCGGGGTGCATTTGGTGCCGGGGTGCTGGGCGCCCATCCTCGGTCCTGTCCTCCCCACGATGGCAGGCCCACACTCGTAGGCCGAGCGCGGGTGCCTTGTCCCCTCACCCTCAGTCTCAAAGGGTGTCGACCGTAGCACCCGCAGCCTGGGCAGGAGCCTGACGGGGCCGTCCGTGGTGGTCAGAGCAAGGGGGATGGATGTGGGGAGGCGCTGGCCCTAAGCGGGTGCCCTGCTGGGCCATCCTCCTCCGCCGTGTGACCGGCCCACTTTACAGAGGAGCAGACTGAGGCTTCCTGGGGCTCGAGTGTACCTGCCTGAGGTCCCAGAGGTCAGGCCCACAGGAGGAATTTGAACAAGGTCACCCAGAGCCCAGGTTCTCTTCACTGACGTTGGTCCTGTCCTCCTGCACCTCCTGGCCACTGCGCACACGAATGCGTGGACACACGCACCCCACCTCCACCCCATCCTCCACGCCACACACAGACGCAAGCGTGCGCACACACACAAGCGCACACACGCCGCTCCCCCGGGGGGCATCCAGAGACAACCCAACAGTGAAGGCCGCCTGTGTGTTATCCAAGTCCCTCCCAGGATGCCCGGGGTCCCTGCCCCAGTCTCTGAAGCTTGACCTTCACTGAGTAACTCATGGTTGTTGAAGAGCGTGTGTTCTAGCATCTGAAAGACCCGGGTTTCTGCTTGTCCTTGGTGCTTGCCTAGCCTTGACCCTGGGCTATAGCCACCCTCCTGAGCTGCATCCTCTCCTCTGTGCACCAGGGACACTCGTGGCTGCCTCTTGGGGTCCTTGTGCCGATGAAGCGAGACAGCCGTGTAAAGAATGCAGTGCTGTGCCCGGGATCTCGTGGTGCCCGGTTATTATCCTGATTCTCATACTAAAAGAATGTTCTGTATCTGCTCTAATTTCTCACTACTCAGGACGATCTCAGAAATTTCATTTCTGTCTTAATTTGCATAATTTGAGAAATGTATGCTGGAGATCCATCTAGGAACCCTGAAATATGAAAGTACAGTCTTTCTGTGACAGTCACGGACCTGTCGGCCCTGGGGAGGGACCCTGATGGTCAGACTGGGGCTTGGTCGGTGCTTCCCTGGAGACGTTTCTGGCCACAGAAATATTCACATTTGCGCCTCCAATACGTTGGGCTCCCCGGGGAAGTGTCCCCAGATCTCTGCAGTTATCGTTACAAGTGAAATTGGTCTGGGTTTGTGCGTGTGTGTGTGTGTGTGTGTGTGTGTGTGTGTGTGTGAGAGAGAATGCCCTTCTCAAAAGCATTTGGTATCTGTGTTCTGTCTTCATAAAAATAGCTTGCTTGCTTGCTTTCTCTGTTCTCTGGGATATTTTGGATATTCTGGAATTACCTGTTGCTGGGAGATTTGAATAACTGACCTCAAAGAGGCCTCAGCCACCCTCCTAGGATTTGTTGGATAACTTAATATTGTTACTAATGGCTTTATTGTTCCACGCGTGAGGTTCTTCCTCTCTGTTTCTGGGATCAATTTTGGCAATTTAGAGTGCCAAGAAAATCACCTGTTTGGTCTGTGTATTCACATATATTTTTGCTTAGAGTTCTGTAAAATATAGTCTTCTTTCATAATTACTTCAATTTCATTTTAACTATAGTTATTTCTCCTTTTACATTTATAATTGTTTACTCATGCTTTCTTTTCCTTGATTAGTTCATCCACTTATTATCTGTTGTTTTCTTCAAATAACTAGTTTGGGTTTGTTTATTTGCTTACTAGATACTTTGCAATACTTTTAATTGCCTTTTTATATTGTTTAATTTTTTTACGCTGCCTCTAAGTCTTAGAAAATCAGTAGGATTTTAAATCCTAATTACGTTTTAATAATTATGAAGACGTGGACTTCCCTGGTGGCACGGTGGTTAAGAATCCGCCTGCCAGTGCAGGGGACACGGGTTCGAGCCCTGGTCCAGGAAGATCCCACACACCACGGAGCAACTAAGCCCGTGCGCCACAAGTACTGAGCCTGCACTCTAAAGCCTGCGAGCCACAGCTACTGAAGCCTGTGCGCCTAGAGCCCGAGCTCCACAACAAGAGAAGCCACCGCAATGAGAAGCCTGCGAACCTCAACGAAGAGTAGCCCCCGCTTGCCTCAACTAGAGAAAGCCCGTGCACAGCAACAAAGACCCAATGTAGCCAAAAATAAATTAATTCTTTAAAAAAAAAAAAACAGAAATATAAGGATGTGAACTTACCTTCTAATGACCAGAAAAATCAGTAGGTGGCAAAGAAAATTCTAAGATTCCTTCGTTATCTCCCACTAGAAACTAGTTTCAGCGCAAGTCCTGTACCAGCTCCTTGAGGCCGTGCGGTGCAGAGGGCCAGCACGTGGTCTGGGAGTTGGACAGTCCCATTCTGTTACGTTAGCTTTGTGACCTGAGGAAACCGCCCAGCCTTTCTGAGCCTCGTCTTTTTAATCCAGAGAGTGAGGATTAATCCAGAGTGAGGAAAGGAGTGGGACCAACAGCACAGCTTGTTAGAAGTTGTAAGCTGTGGGAAGCACTTAGCACAGCACCCAGCAGACATTTAGGGCTTGGTGCACCTTTGTTATCAGCTGGTGAGCATCAGTATCTCCATCAGTATGCCCCTGGCCCCTTGGAGGATGCAGGGTAAGTGGGCGCACTGCGGGGAACGCAGATGTTCAGGCCTCTGTGGGGGACCCCGGGTGCTCCCACCGTGTGCACGAGGGCGGGGCCGGTAGATGCGCGGGTGGCGCCACTTTTTTTCCTCCTCCTGGTGAGGTGTTTTTCGGGGCAGCATTGAGAACAGAGAGGGGCCGGAGACCGTGAGGGTAGCTTGATGGGCGCTGGCCGAGGACTCGAGATCCCCGGGTCGGCGACGAAGGGCGCTTATTACTCACAGCAGCAGCAGTGCAGCCAGTGTCATTGTGTCACCAAACACCAGGCCCTGGTTTCCCAGGGTAACGTGAAGGGGCCAGGTGCTGCCTGCAGGGGTCTCACTGTGGGGAGTAACCCAGACCCTTGGTGCTGGGTGGTGGGCACGCCTGCCCGTGGCTGCAGGGAGGTACCGCGTGCTTCCCTGGAAGGAAGGGGAAGGGAACAAGCGCTCCCGGCAGGTGGCTGGAGGACCCCAGGATCGGGATGGGGGTGAGTGTGTGGAAGAGAGGGCGCTGACACTGCAGCTGCGATGCTGTCCCCTCGGCAGATGCAGAGACATCTCGTGGTGTGTTGTAACGAGATGCCCTGGAGTCAGCTGCTCCAGAGCTGCTCCTTTAGGCCTGGAACACAGAGGCCTTTGTTCTTCCTTCACCCTGGTTGTAAGGTCTTTGTTTTCACAGGATTTTCATTTTTCCTGTATTTTGTAGTCTAAGCCTTAGATCATTGATCTCCTTCCTCCTGCAGAAGGAGACCCGATTCCCTCTTAACCCCCCGCCCCCCAGGCTGTGGTCCGCAGCGATGGCAGGACGGGGGAGGGGGTTTAGCCATCAGGACCCCCAGTGGCTCTGGCTTCATTTTAGAGGGAGCTGAGGAGGTCTCCGTAACCGTTTGATAAGAGCACGGCCATTTGTTCGTACGATAGAATTCTGTATTATTGGGTCAGAATATGACTGAAATTTGTTAGTTTGATGATCTCTGTCATTTTACTGGTCACAAATAACCCCCCCAGTAATTGATTGGGAGACTGTAATATTATACCAAAAGGTAAATATTGTATTTTTTTACTCATTCTTTTTCTTTTTTAACGATAATATCAAGTTTAATTTGCCAAATATACAAGTTGGACTTGTGGAGCATGTTTTGCCTGGGTGCTACATGGCAGAGGTTTCTTGAAATGATCCATGGACAGGTTTAAGAATGGGCCTGGGGCCTGGCCAGAGTCGGGAGTTATTTTTATTTTTCATAATGCTATGCCAGGATTCCTTTTGAAGGGTACAAATTAAAAACTGTAAGAGACTTGTTAACACGCAGGTGTATTAACCACTCACTTTCTGACATAGAGATAGATGTTGACATCCTGCTGTATCCTAAATGGCTCTTACTTTGTTTTGGTAACAAAAAGTGATAACCAGTAAATGGTTATACCAAAGTTTTACCCTGCCTGATACATAACATTAGGAAACTGTATATGTGGGTTTAGATTTAACATTTGTCAGCTGAACTGACTACATAATTTTGTCAAAGCAGATTGGAGACATAAAGACAGCCGAAAAGTACTTTCAAGATGTAGAGAAAGTAACACAGAAACTGGATGGACTGCAGGGTAAAATAATGGTTTTAATGAACAGGTATGTATTTTTTCTTTATATTTCCTTCCAGTTTTATTGAGATACAATTAACTTACAGCACGGTGTAAGTTTAAGGTGTGCAGCATGATGATTTGATTTACATACTGACATCATGAAGTGAGGACCACAGTAAGCTTAATGAACATCCATCATCTCATATGTAACGTACGGCCGTGTTAACTATGTTCATCGTGTTGCAGAGTGCATCCCTAGTACTTATTTATAACTGGAAGTTTGTACCTTTTGACCACCTTCATCTAATCCCCCCTCCCCACCCCTCCACGGGCAACCACAAATCTGACCTTTTTCTGTTTGTTTGAAGTATAATTGCCTTGCAACACTGTGTTAGTTTCTGTCACACAACATAGGGACTTGATATTTCTGTAGCTTTCAAACTGTCACCACCATTAGTCTAATTATGACCCGTCTCCACACACATTTCTCACATCATCACTGACTGCATTCCTCACACTACGCGTTTCAGACCCGTGACACGTTTATTTTGCACCTGAAGTTTGTCCCTCTATGTCTCCCTCCCTTAATCGCCTGTTTCTGTCCTCCCCTCACCCACCCCACTTCTGGCAACCACCTGTTTGTTCTCTGTGTCTGTAACTCGGTTTCTGTTCTGTGTTTGTTCACTTGTTGTTAGATTCCACATATAAGTGAAATCGTACAGTATTCGTTTTTCTTTGACTTATTTCACTTAGCATAATGCCCTCGAGGTCCATCCATGTTGTCACGAATGGTAAGATTTCATTCTTTTTTATGGCCAAGTAATATTGTAATATTCCATGCACTGCACACACACCTCTTTATCTATTCATCTCTTGATGGACACTTAGGTTGCTTTCTGTATCTTGGCAATTGTAAATAATGCTGCAGTGAACGTAGGGGTACATGTATTTTTTCTAATTAGTGTTTTTATTTTCTTTGGATAAATACCCAGGAGTGGAACTGCTGGCTCATATGGCAGCTCTATTTTTAGTTTTTTGAGGACCCTCCATACTGTTCTCCACAGCGGCTGCACCAGTTTACATTCCCACCAACAGGGCACAAGGGTCCCCTCTCTCTACAGCCTCACCACCACTTGTTATTTGTTGTCTTTTTGATAACAGCCATTCTGACAGGTGTGAGGTGATATCTTAGTGTGGTTTTCATTTGCATTTCCCTGATGATTAGTGACATTGCGCATCCTTCCATGTGTCTGGCCATCTGTATGTCTTCCTTGGAAAATTGTGTATTCAGGTCCTCTGCCCATTTTTTAATCAGGTTTTTTTGATGTTGAGTTGTTTGAGTTCTTTGCCTGTTAACCCCTATTTGATATATATCAGTTCCAAATATCTTCTCCCATTCGGTTGGCTGCCTTTTCATTTTGTTGAGTTTCCTGCACTGTGCAAAAGCTTCTTGGTTTGATGTAGTCCTGGCTGTTTGTTTGCTTTTGTTTCTCTTGCTTGAGGAGACAGATCCAAAAAACTATTGCTAAGACTGATGTCAAAGAATACTGCCTATATTTTTCTCTAGAAGTTGTATGGTTTCAGGTCTTACATTTTAAGTTTTAAATTCATTTTGAATTTATTTTTGTGCGGTGTGAGTTAGGAGTCTAGTCTGATTCTCTTGCATGTAGCTGTCCTGTTTATCCAACACAATTTATTGAAGAGTCTTTTCCTCATTGTATATTCTTGCCTCCTTTGTCACAGATTAATCGACTATGTAAGTAGGGGTTTATACAGGTCTTCTGCCCAGTTTTTAATCATTCTTTTTTTATGTTGAATTGAATGAGCTGTTTATTTTTTTTAGTATTTATTTGGCTGCATTGGGTCTTGGTTGTTGTGGCACACGGAATCTTCGTTGCGGCGAGTGGGCTCTTCGTTGCAGTGCACGGGCTCTCTAGTTGAGGCATCCCGTGGCATGTGGGATCTTAGTTCCCCAACCAGGGATCGAACCCGCATCCCCTGCATTGGAAGGCAGATTCTTAACCACTGGACCACCAGGGAAGTCCCTGAATGAGCTGTTTATATATGTTGGATATTAATTCCTTATAGGTCATATCACTTGCAAATATTTTCTCCCACTCAGTAGGCTGCCTTTTCATTGTATTGATGGTTTCCTTTGCTGTGCAAAAGCTTTTAATTAGGTGCCATTTGTTTATTTTTGCTTTTATTTTCTTTGCTTTAGGAGATGGGTCCAAAAAAATATTGCTACTATTTATGTCAGAGAGTGTACTGCCTATGATATCCTCTAGGAGTTTTTTGGTTTCTGGTCTTATATTTAGGTCTTTAATCCATTTTTAGTTTACTTATTTTTCTGTATGGTATGAAGGGATGTTGTAATCACATTCTTTTTTTGGGGGGGGGGGTCGCCTGGGACCATGCCACAGGGCTTGCAGGATCTTAGTTCCCTGATCAGGGGTCGAACCTGGGCCCCAGCAGTGAAAGAGCCGAGTCCTAACCACTGGACTGCCAGGGAATTCCGTCTAATTTCATTCTTGTACATGAGGCTGTCCAGTCTTCCCAACACCACTTGCTGAAGAGACTTTTCTCCGCTGTATATTCTTGCCTCCTTTGTCATAGATTAGTCGACCATAGGTGTGTGGGTTTGTCTCTGGGCTTTCTATCCTGTTCCAATGATCTGTGTCGGTTTTTGTGCCAGTACCATACTGTTTTGATCATTGTAGATTTGTAGTATAGTCGGAAGTCAGAAAGCATGATTCCTCCAGCTCCAGTTTTCTTTCTCAAGATAGTTTTGTCTATTTGGGGTCCTTTGT